TGAAAAGGCGAGCATGTTTGGTGTGACGGGGATTCGAACCCGCGACCCTCAGATTGCGAGTCGAGTGCCCTATCCACGTGGCCTATATCTTATTGTTTCCTATCCTATTTCGTCATCTATTTGTAAGAAAAATAATGTAAAAAAAAAGAAATTAAAGTATTCACTCTTTATTTGTCAATAGAGAAGTAACGCCTCTTTGCGCTTAGACGTTCATTTTTCTTCCAATAGAGACAATTTCTTGATTTACAAGTATTATTTAAATTTACTGGTTTTTTTACAATATTAAGTAACTTATCTGTAAATATTGATTTTTTTTGAAAATATCATTATATAAGTTTACGAAAACCCTTTAATTTATTACAATCTCGCAAAGTGTTAGAAACAAGATGCTGTTGTTTCCTGCGAGGCTGAGTTGTTTTTGTTTTCAACACGTGCCAATTAAATCAAGCTAGAAACACATGTATTCATGAGCATAAGATCATTTTATCGAAGAACAAACATCTACAGATAAATATATACAGCTAAGAGGCTTAATGGACGGTTGTCGTGAAATATATTTTTCTAGACCTGAAGCAGTATCGGAACAAACAAGACAGCTGCTGTCGTGTTCAATATTCATGTTGTGGACTGAAAATAGCACGCGATCCACACGAACGTAGGATTTCAGGGACTTGTAGGAAGAGGCATTATCATCCTAATGAACTCTTACTCGAAGTCGCCTCTATCTTCTCTTCAGAATAGACTTTTGCTTTTTATTCCTATATCTGCGAAGATTTTCCTTCGGCACCACATCCAGTGAAATTCGACAAAAATCAACTCCCATTTGTTATAATAAACCACTTACACACATAAGATGATATTGTCAGCGAAAGTAGGCAGGGGTGATCTCTTTATTTTGCAACTTGAGCTAATCACTGATATGATTAATTGAATGGATAATTTAATCGTTTGATTCGTGTTTTCACAGAAATATATTTAAGAGAAGGAGGCACGATAATGACGTTCAAATTAACTTTGGTAATGAACTTGAGATAAGTAAAGGAATATCTAATTGTCTCTACTACACAGCAAAGGATACTTACAGATAAAATGTTTATGGGTGGTTTCTCATTGGATTTTACTTGTACGAATTTAGCATAAGAAAGTTTATAATATATAAGTTCTAAGGCTACCAGAATTTTAAAATATTGTATATATTATCTTAGCGATATTTGGAGAATCAGTTTTATGATACCTGATCCTAAAAGAGCGATATTTGGAGAATCAGTTTTATGATACCTTATCCTAAAGGAGCGATATTTTGACAATCAGTTTTATGATATCTTATCCTAAAATAGCGATATTTGGAGAATCCGCTTGGTTGATGTGAGAACTTGACATATTTTCTGTAAATCTTTATGTATAATGCGTTATATATTTAATTTTTGTTCAATATTTCTGTCGTTTTCTTAGGTTTCACTGAAGCTCAACAACATTTTATTGTAAAACCTCAAGATACAGAAGTTGTCCAAGGCCTTACTGGAATTCTTCATTGTCAAGTCGGGAATCTTCAAGGTGCAGTTCAATGGAGTAAGGATGGATTTCTACTTGGTGAGATCATATTACTTACTTATATATGGATTTATAGTTGGTGAGATCATATTACTTACTTATATATGGATTTCTACTTGGTGAGATCATATTACTTACTTGTACATGGATTTCTACTTGGTGAGATCATATTACTTACTTATATATGGATTTATACTTGGTGAGATCATATTACTTACTTATATATGGATTTATACTTGGTTAGATCATATTACTTACTTATATATGGATTTATACTTGGTGTGATCATATTACTTACTTATATATGGGTTTCTACTTAGTGAAATCATATTACTTATATATTTGAATTTAATATATAAGTAAGTAATATGATCTCACCAAGTAGAAATCCATATATAAGTAAGTAATATGATCTCACCAAGTAGAAATCCATATATAAGTAACTAATATGATCTCACCAAGTAATACATATATATAAATCGAGGGAGAGAAGCTAATTCGTTTAGTCATAATTAGTTGGGCAATAAACGTAAATAGAAGTTCAAACTTTTAGTAATAAATGATTTCTCTCGTTACTAACCTTATGTATTTTGGTACTTCTAAAAAAAAGAACCTTAAGGCATACTCATGATAACTTATAGAATAAAAAGTGAAAAGTACATGCATGTCCTGAAACATGAACTAAAGTACCCGAAAGTTTATACAAATTACGTAACCATGAACACAATGATAGAATAGGTTAAGATGTATGTGATATGATTATAACCTATTAATGAATTATACGTTGTCAACTTGAGTAAGGAAGCACATTATCTAATATAATAATGAGTAGGCAAACAACGATTTATAAGCATGAGTAAGAATTATATTCATATCGTTGTTTACCTACCTATTATTGTACGTTAAAATTACTGATCATAAAAATAATAATAATATTGGGAGAGGTAGTTTTGTTTGGGTGTATCTAAGCGTAAAACTACAAAAAGGGTTATCTGTGGTTGCCCATCTCAGATACCGACCCTTGATCTCTAAATTTATTGCTGAGCCATCGGAAAACGATATAGAACATCAATGTTCGAGAGTCAACTGTAGTATTGATACTAAACGACAGTTAAACAAAAGGAACTTACTATATTTTTAACAGTGAAACAAAGCATGAAAGTACCAAATACGTCCCGGTGTTTAGGGCAACTGACTTGCAATCTGAGGTTCGCGGGTTCGAATTCCCGTCCCAAAGAAACAAGCTCGCCCTTTCAGCCGTGGGGGGCGTTATAATATTACTGTCAATCTCACTATTAATTGCTAAAAGAGTAACCCAAGAGTTGGCGGAGGTTGGTGATGACTAGCTGCCTTTCCTCTAGTATTTCACTGGTAAATTAGGGACGGCTACCTCAGATAGCCCTCGTGTAGCTTTGCGCGAAATTCAAACCAAAGAAAACCTACCAAATACATAGGAGATTCATTAGGAATGACGTAGAATACTAAATACCTCTTTAGCGCAGTGGTCTAAAATATGAATATTTTATTTGTTCCTCACTTTACTTAATCATTTTCATTAAGAGAACAAGAATTCCTTCTTAATGTGTCGCGGAAAACACGGTTCAACATAAACAGTACGTGATTTCACGTAGGTATACTTCTACCAATAATAATGATTTATTGAAGGTGATTAGAAGATTTGTATACATATCGTGTTTGCTGTGGTTACATTTGTTCGTTTGTTTTTTCGAAATTTTGCGAAAAGCTACCCGAGAGATAACTGCGCTAGTTGTCCCTAATTTAGAAATGATAGAATAGAGTGAAGATGATTAGTCTAAACCATCCACCGCCAATTGACATAGCTACCAAACCATACCAGCCCAAGCGATGTTTAAAAAAAACATTTCTATATAAAACACGTTAATATTGTTTTAGTTCTTACTTTCAAAATGTAATGTAAACACTACACTGATTCCTGAAATATTTCGTTTTGTCATCTGTATCTAGCTTTGGTAAAATACAAAAATTCGAGGATTACGATACGTATCATGGCATCAAAAAACAACCCCATACAACTATATTATGTAAATTTGTTTTACAGCTCAGATTTTCTCGTGTTTGCAGTTTATTCGTTGATAGTTTAAAATATCATTACAAGGCGGTTGTGTTGTATTCACAATGTCTAACAGTAGTTAAACTACAGAATCATATATAACTATTTTTATAAGGAAGGTGTTAGGATAAACAATAAGTTTATTACTGATTACGTTACATTAAAATGATTGCAAAGGCTTATATACATGGACGAATTTTGCTACTGACCATTGTATTCATGGGTTCTCACCGTACTTTGATTTCCACAGTTAGGGTACGACTTGTTGCAAGTCTCTTTCTGGATGGTCATGGTTCCCTCTGTTTATCTATACTCCTCTATTTTGCTTTCCAATTCCATTAAGTACAAGGAATATCCCCATCTTGGAATATATAAGCGCTTGATTTAAACACATCTTTACCATCTGAGAGTGTAAATATTTTACTTCGGAAAGGGTTGTTACATACATATATAATTAAATTAGTATTATAGGAAGAACCATTGAAGATCCAAATAGTAGCAAGGAAAGATGGAGGTTGGGCTTAGTATAGTAATACCTTAACATCTTGGTATTTATTTCCAAACATCGTATTGAAGACTGGAATGCTAACTTCGAGGGCATGTTTACTGTATCCCTTCATTGATGTATTGTATTCTAATTATTGTGTTTTTATTTTGTTTATTTACTTATTTATTATTTTTTTTCGAGAGCAACCAGCTTCCCACACCTGGATGCAGAGGTGGTAAAGATGTGGGACGTTGTGGGCTAGAACACCTACATCTCTTCCATTTGTTTTTTGTTGTTGTTTTTTTATTCTAAGGATGTGAGGCCAGCGAAGTTGAGATTAAACTGAATAAACGGTGTACCCTCAACCGAATTTGAGACTTACTTCTATCGTTGTTGGATGTTTTTGGCTGAGTTTTTCTCTATAACATTATTTTTTGCCCTCTCTATAATATTAAATTTAATTATATGTCATCTAAGGTTTGGACATGTTGTGTAAAATCGAATGTTGTGTAAAAGTCAAACTATCCTTCCTTTTTATGTAATATGTTAACATTTATATGTACGAAGCGCCAAACAATGTTAAAATGTTATCATGATAACTTTCGTATCACTGTAATTTTATATTGCCTATCTTTGTCACGTAACTTGCTGATTTGCACACTCATAATATTTTTAATATAACGTACTCAACCCTCTATAGTGCGCCTCTCCAGTTTTTAAGGCTTTTATTACAGCATGTGTTGTCTCACGTATAATACTTTTATGTACGAAACACGTGAAGCTATATAAGAAAACAAAAATCAAATTTGAAGTCTGAGAAGGAATTTGACTAGCTATGTTGTGGCAAGAAACATAGATAATTAAAGACATATCCAGTACATTTTTGTCACATAGTTGATTCTCGACCAACTAAATTAATGTTGTTATAATTGTTCCTTATGCGTTTTACACGTCGGACTCCTTTAGTTTAAAAACTGTTATAATTATACAGCTGCACTTGTACGGTGTTTTACTGGGAAGTCTTCGTCCACCAAGATACTTAAACGCATAATTTCAAAGCCTTTTATTACGTACGTCGCGTCTATAGTGATTTTACGTGGTCACGGATCTGTAATTAACAACGATGTCCTAAGAGTTTCCTCTTACGCATAATATCTCTTGAGGTAAGACATATAACCATAAAACTGTTATCAGTGGTAACGCAACGTTAAACCAAGCAGTACTGGTGATATGTTCTCTTTTAACAGAATACGTTTAAAACTATAGCAACGTTTAATGAAAAATTTTAGGGATTTAAGAGGAACAATATGATGAAAATAAAGCCACAGAAATTATATGTATGGAGATTATTTATATCAAGAGATGACTAATAAACAAATTGTGTGACAAATATCTTTTTTTGTGTATTTTTCTTAATACTTTTCTGTGTCGTGTAAATTTCATCCCTACTTGAACATTGATTACTCGTTCATATTTGTTATGAACATATTTGCTTAGTTATACTGATTAAAACGAATATTTTATAAAATACTACTGTACATGCAATGACAGAGATGATAAGGCGCTGCCCCCCTCCCCAAGTGGCACAGTGGTATGTTTACGTACTTACTGTAGTGCCCCCCAGTGGCACAGCGGTATGTTTGCGGACTTAAAACGCTAGAATCCGGGTTTCGATACTCGTGGTGGGCAGAGCACAGATAGCCCTTGTGTAGCTTTGTGCTTAATTACAAATAAACAAACAAACTTACTGTAGTGTACAGAGGACAAATAGCCCTTTGTATAGCTTTGTGTTTAACTACAAACAAGATAATGCACTTTAGGGAAAAAAACAGCACTTGGTAAGGTAATTTTAACACCAAGTAATAACACAAAATACTTGGAAAACACTTTCAACATATTAATTAATCTAAAAAAAAAGAAGCATTGAACGTTTAAAACAATAAACTAGAGTCTTTTTGTTATGATGTTATTTTCTAGTTTTAAGTTGGATTTCAAAGATATTCTAATCAGTAGCATTTAGTCTTACAATTTTATTTCACGCCTGTCTTTATTTCATCGTATTCACTGACGCTGAATTTGTTATCACAGAATAATATTCCTCTATTCAACAGATTTTTTCGGCTTCAAACTTAGTAGTTCATCAATGTACTGATTATTCAAATGCTAGGTAAACATAACATAGACCACAGACCAGATGTGATTCTCCCCACAAGTAATCAATACTTAAACCTGGTGATATCCTGTGAATTCGGAAATCTTGTAGATGCGTAACCGACAAATTCGACAAAATAGGAAACCAGGGCGAACGAAATGGAAGCTAGGAGCTAAATGCGTTGAATTACCCTGAAGGTGTTTTCACGACCATAAACCTTTAACCAGAAGATAAACGAGGCGTACTTCCAAAAATAGTTCAGTATATCAGAGCTAATAACAAAAAATGAAGAGAGAGCAGATATGATG